TGAAATTTCAACCAATAATAAAAGAAATGCAAATAAATGATTTCTATTAATAAGGTATAAAAACAGTCCATCAAAAAGAAGATTTTTTGTTTACTAGTTGAATTGGTTTACCAGTTTCTTTATGAATTTTAAATCAATGACTGTAATTTAATCTTATAGATTTAATGTTTTTTATTAATTGACTTTACAATAAAGTCAAAAATGATAACCTTACTGTAGAATTTGCCTATTCGTAGTATGATTCCGCTTAGATATATTTGAGTTTTAATTTGTTATTTTTTTCCCTTTTATTTAAAAAAGAAATGGAAAATGTGCCCAAAATCTGTATGTCCGAGTGGTTAAGGAGACAGACTTGAAATCTGTTGGGTTCACCCGCGCAGGTTCAAATCCTGCTGCCGACGGTATCAGGCGTCTTTCCTTTTTCTAATTTCGTTTAAGATGGCAATTAGTTGTGCGCTACTGGTAAATGAACAACTTTTTTAAACTTCAAATATCAATGAAATCCTACCAATCGAATTTATTCTCTCTCTTTATATATGGATCTATATCTATGTTTAGATTTTGGTTTTTGATATAAAGAAGGATCGGATTTGAATTTAACACTTTGAATAAGGATACATGCATCAACTATTTGAATGTTAATCTACGTCCAAAAATTGAAATAAGAGAAAAAAAAGTGAATTCAAAATTAAAACTTTGATTAGTTTGATTGAGAGAATTTTTAAGTTGGAACCATATATCTCTTTGATGCATTCTTCTCACGTACCCATTTATTTTCTTGGAATTGTGTTTTGTTACATTATTGGTCAATTTCATTGATAGTTTCCTTTTTGAATTTATATTTGATATATAGACAATGTATAGTTTCTATACTTTGTAAGCTCATAAAATGCTATCACTTCATTAATGAATTAAATTAAAAATGTTTGGAGGCTTAAAATTAAATATTAATGATTTTCCTTTAAAAATACATAAATAATAATAAATTATTATGTTTTTATCTCCAACTCCCTCATAGTCATTCTTTTCTTGTTCATCTTTTGCTATCTCTCTCCAACTCCATCGACTTCTTCTCCTCTTCTCCTTCTTCGATAAATTAGATTTGGCAAAATTATACAACTTTAAGTGATATATTTTTTAAGTGATTTCTATATTTGAATTCTTATTCTTTTAATGAAAACCCAAATTCCCTTGTTTCAATAATTTCTCTCTCTTAGGATTTTAGAAAGACGCAGCCTTTTGGTTTGAATTCCTTTTCTTTCAACACAACGAAAAATCCTCTATCAAATTTCTCCCATCTCTTTTAGAGTTTCAATAATATCTCTCTCTTAAAATTTTAGAAAAAATTATTTTCGATGCTTAACCCTCATTTTATTAAACATATACAGTATCAATTTATATTTGATGTATAGAAGGTGTATAATACACTTTCCTGCCATTATAAACTACCATCTCATTATTAATGCAAAATTAAAATTTATAAGGATTTAATATTAAAAAAAATTTAATTACATTAAAAACGTAAAATCAAGTTTGTTTCTCTCTCAACTCATTCTTATAATGATTTATGGTTTTGTTGTTGCCCGAAACAGCTTATACATGCCAACTTCAATTCCCATTATTGGCAGTGATACAATGGGCAAGGTTTTCTGTGTTCGACAAGACACAGAAGGCGATAAGGTGGCTGGAAAAGAACCCATCGAGATTAAGCCTCGTTTGGTTTGGATTTGTTTCAGTTGGGGCAAGGATTTGCGTATATGTAAGATTGAGAAAACAGGGTTGTTAACAGGCAAAGCATGTTGCAGTGGATTTTCATGTCTTATACAGTGTTAAAAAGACAACGATTTTTAAGAGCCCATCGAATAAAAACAATTGTGATAGAGAGAGAGAGAAAAAAAACTGCTTTTATGTATTCTAAGGTTAGACAAATCTCCTTCGGTTTCAAGTTCAATGTTATCTCAGCTGTAAACAATTAAACCAACGATGGAAGCATCATCCTCGAGGACTACTACAAATATGTTGTTAAGAAGAAAATGAAATGATCCTTCAAGTTCTAAACATATAAGATCTGTATTCACTTGACAATTTCCACCACCAACACAACCATGAACCATTGTGAGATCGGGTTTTAAAGAAGAAAAGCAAAGGAAGAAGAGGAGATTGGCCGAGGGAGATATGAGTGAGAAATTTATGTTTTTATGTAAAAGTATGAATATTTATTTTTAAGTTGAAAAGTTTTAATTATGCTTTTTTAATGAGGTGACCGCTTATGTTGACCTAATAGTAGTGTGCATCAAATATAAAACCATAAAACAAAGAGAAGGCAACAACATTATGTTTGTTTAACCATAAATTAACTTGACACTGAACAACAAAATAACAACCTGGCCAATTAATGAAATAACAGAAGAAAACAGGGAAACTAATTTAGGTCCTACTCGTATACATTCACGAATATGACTTTCTGTGAATAAACGATGCAACTGAACAACAAAGCAAATTAAATTCAGGGAGAGAAGTTGCTTGGCCAGGTTTTCCCATCAAATGGCAGTCCGATATCGCTGCCAGCACCACTGCTGCTGCCTCCAAAATACTGGAAACGCGGCAGCCCTAACTCACTTACGGCAGAGCTTCTTCTTACGTCTCCACCAAAAGGGTGCAGTCCCAGCCCTATATCACCCCCAAAAGGGCCAAAACTGCTGCCTCCGATGCTACTCGCTCGAGACAGCCCCATGTCACTTACACCTGCACCCTGTTGTCCGAAACTCATAGGAGGCAGCCCCGTGTCAGCTGCACCACTGAAGCTGCCAGCAAATGAGTGTCCTGGCAGCCCCGGATCATCTGCAGCACTGCCAGCAAACGGGTGATATGGAAAGCCCACATCACTCCTTATGCTACTGCTGCCAGCAGATTGGTGTTCATTGTGGTTCATCATATCGATGAACCATGGGTCCCACAGCGAGGGTTCGGTTGGAGTCCTTCCGCTCCCACCATGGCCCGCGCTGCCACTGCCAATTTGGGCCGTTTCATTTATTGGAGGGCCTTGGGGAGGAAGAGGAAGATGTGGATGATGAGGGAAGCCTGCAGGTGCAAAAGGAACTAGTTGGAAAAACTCAATCCGCTTTCTAATGTCCTTGATCTTCTCTTCCACAAACCAAATCAGCCCATGCAGTTCACTGAGGTTAAGTTCATCAAGCTCCTTGCCTTGATTGATTTGATGCATGAGATGGGTCATCTCGACTTCCTTGTTCCTCCTTTGGCACTTCGTCAGTTGTTCTTGCGTCTTTGTACCATTTTCTCTGAGGTAGGTATCTTGGTTCATCATTTTCCTTTGCCGCTCCAACTCGGGCATGCTTTGGAACCGTGCAAGCAGTTGTTGCATCACGTCGTGTGACGGCCACACCACTGGCTCGGTTTCGTCCGGGCAATAGATGAGGACACAAGCATCGACACCGCATAGAGTGGTCAGCTCACTCACTTTCTTCAACAGGCCTAACCTCCTTTTCCTGAGGCTGGCTCTTCTGGCACTGTTATTCACTATCCATGCAAGCTTCGCCTTCTTTCTTGCCATGGTTATTGCTTGGCAAATGGCAGTCTCTCTTTTTCTTGAATTATATATTTCTAACAGGGGGTGAAGAAGAAAATTGGGTTGCCGGAATGGAAGCCAATGAGGTCTTTATATAGTGAGAGAGATGGGACAAATCATTTAAGTGCTGAGTTGGTAAACGAGGGTATCAAGGCTAATTTGGAGATTAAGAGAAGATTCTAAGATAACTGATGGTTGGTATGAGAATTGAATTTGTTGCTTAGTATGGTAAGATAATTCATCATTATTCAATGCTTTCTAATGTAATTTATCTGGACTAATATTGAAGACAATTGTATTCTTAAATGATTTGAATTTGTAATAATCATTAACCTTAAAACTTCTATTTCATTCACAATGTGTTGATTTTTATTCAAAATGTAATTTAATGATAAAAATTTGATAGAAACTTTAGTCTATTCACCTTAATTATTCATGAGAAAAAATATAAAACAATATGTTGATCAATTAATCAATCAATCTTCTGATTAAGAGAAGATCATATTATGTTCAATGATCATGATAGTAGAAAATTATCATGTGGAAAAGAGACATATTAACTAATCAAGCAATCGTTGGAGACACGTGTGAATTATCCACGATGAACATTATTATGCTCGTGTTTTAGAGTGGTAATATCACCATGTTTATAGGCTAGATCACGTCAGTTTTCATTATGATGTAATTTAATTAATAGTCAAATTTGACAAAAGATCTCGTTTGTCCACCTAACTCTAAGACAAAAAGATACGTTGATCAATCGATCAGTCTTATAAAATAATGGCATATTATTATGATTGATAAACATTATTCTATGACACGTTATACGATGGTGAAATATTATTGTAACTCAAAAGAGAGACAAATATGTTAGTTTAGGGCTTCGTTTGGTAATCGAAAAATAATTTATTGAAGAAAATTGATTTTTATAAAAACTATTTTACTACAAAATCTAATATTTTCTATTGTTTGGATAAATAAGCCAAAACATTTTCTGTTATTTGGAGTATCTTGTGAAAAATATTTTCCGCTATCACTTATCTTAAAAAATTTACTCTATCTTCAATATTTTCTATCAAGACACCATAAAAGTATCAATATTCGTTAATTATGTAAGACATCCAAAGCTTAATTTATAATATTAAAGATATTGTATATAAATAATAAAAAAAACTCAAAACATACTCTTAAAAAAAAACTCAAAACATACACATAGATATAAGTTATCATACCACATAATAAAGGCATTCTACATATATAATTAAAAACATCCAATCATCATCCAACAATAAACAAAAATTAATTATTTTTTACTCAATAATTATAATTGAGAATTACTATAAACAAAAATTGTTTTAAAATAAATATATTAATTAGGAAGCAACTGCTCAAACAACCCAAGATTGGAGTAAGGTAAAGTTCAAAGATTGAAAACTTATCCTTTCGTTTAATTTTAGCTTAGCCACATCGATTTGTCGTCAAGCTACTAATAGAGTTGACTATTTTGTGCAGCTATTAATACAGGAGATGAGGAGTTTAATTTTGTTTGATATTCGTACCTTTTTATCCTTTGTTGAAAAAAAAAGTCCACCAAGATGCAAAATAGACCTTAAACAAGATGGAATTAAAATAAAAGAGAATCAAATAGAATCATGAACAAGACAAACAAGATTTTTGTGTCTTAACATATCATGTCATGTAAACATAGAGTATTAAAAGTTATACAAGTAAATATGAACAAACACGATTAATTAAACGTGTCAAGATCTTAAATACGAACATGAATACATTTATTAAATGTGCAACATGGCAAGCCTAACATGTTTATGAAATGGATTGGGTTAAATTTTATAAAACATGACATGGTTTAAAATCCATTTGACAAAAAATCTCATTGGTCCACCTAACTCTAAGACAAAAAGGTATATCGATCAATTGATTAGTTGTCAAACCCTAACCTTTAATAAAAGGTTAAAATTGTAACTTAGCACGGTGAGCATAAAAAATTATGATTTCTTATGATGTTTTTGAACATTTGCAACCTAAAAATGGGTGTTTGGTTTGAAAGTTGGGAATTTTAGAGTATCAAATGCTGTGCTTTTAGTTTTGAAAATTGCATTCTAGATCAAAAGTATCAATACCTATTCATAACGTATCGATACTTGAAATCCAAAAATGCATATGATAAATGAAGTATCAATATTGGATGAACAAGTATCGGTACCTTCAAACCTAGAACAAAAGTATCGATAACTATATGAAAAGTGTCGATAACTCTAACGTAAATTGAAAAAAAAAAGGGAAAATAGACTTTTCTCTAATATTTTAAAGCCTTAAAACCCCTTGCTTTTCCCAAAATGGAAAATATCCTTTCTTTCTTAGCCCTTCTTTCTTCTCTTTACCGTCCACTCTCTCATATCATTCACAAGCATTTTTAAGCATTTAAAGGACATACCCAAGTTGAGATTTTGATTTTAAAGGTTTTTAGAGGTAAGATTTACTTGTTTTTTTAAAATTCTAAACTTTGAGTTTTGATTTCTAGAATTTATAGATCATTAAAATTCATTTTACTCTTTAAACCTTAGGTTTTGGAGTGGTTTTGGATACTTCCAAACTCCCCAAGGTAACATTGCTAATCCCTAACTAATTGTAGAATAACTCATAGTTAGGTTAGGTTTTTAGCTATTACTTCCGGATTTGAAGCTAAGTAATGGAGTTAGTGAAAGGATTAAAGGTTATTGATGAAGATTATGCCTAAATGTCATGACTTGTTGTCTAATGAGCCATGACCAATGCATAGACCTATGTGGATATGGCCCACTAGGTCCAAGTAAGCCTTAATCAACATGAGTGGGTTTGTCATCCATCGTAATCATACAACGTCCATATAGTATAATAAAATTCACAGGTAAATAAACCTCACCACATCATTATAGAACTTCTTGATATAATGTATGGAATTTCATGTATTCATTAACCACATAAGCACACCCCCACACCATGCTTGAAGAGGAGAAAAGCGGTACGTTCACCCAACTTGATCTTGTGGTATTTTTACCTTTGCTTCGGGATTTACAAGGGGAAAAGATGGCATGTTCGCCAATCTTGATCCTATGGTATTCTTACCCCTACACTGAACTTTTATAAAAAAAAGAGATGGTACATTCACCAATTTTGACCCTGTGGTATTTTTACCCCACACTAAGCTTAGATCAACATATCACATAATTAAACATCCACTCGAGATCCTACCAAGATCAAGCATCAAATAGTAAATCATGACATTCACATGAATCTTGAAATGGTGGAGACTTACTCATCCACTTTCACATTTCTCACATCTTGTGAGCATTATATCATCCACGTTCATATTCAATTGGGTGGATTTCTATTATCCCACCTAGGTCTTTATTTAGCTATGCACCAATCGTGTAACATACATCCAATCGAGGAGTATTTAATAGAAAACATTTGAAAGGCCTTGTCCCCCCTTGTTTGAAACTAATATGTAATAGAGATATTTACTTACATAATAGATTTGAAAACCTTGGCAAAATCATTTGTGCACAACCAATCAGATTTATCAATTTCATCACAGCTTTCAAATTATGCAAATAAAACTAGTTGATAAATCATGCTAACTTTACCATATAATATACTTAAAAGTGTGCATGCACTCACTTTTAAAAAGTCGATTTCTATCAGTACACGAAACTCTAGTCTAGCAAACTTCTTGGATTTTCCACTGTTCCTAAACATGCAACAATCAATACTTAGTCTAGAAATCGCATAATAATTGTTCTAGGCTATTTTCAAACTATTTGAGTTCTTCTAAAACTAATTTTCTAGAGTAAATTTACTACTCTTTAAATACCCATGTATTTTAAATCCATAAATTCATCATCCTTATCTTACGTGAGCTTTAATACTTAGGAAAATCACAAAAACCTTGAACCTTAGCAACCAATAGAAAAATCTGGCAGCCAAAACAACATATTTAGTTTTGGAAATTCACAATTTAATGGTTTCAAAGTTGACAAATACCTTTTTGCTCATAAAAACTTAAAACTAAGCTCAAAATCATCAAAAATGATGATTTGGAATAAAAATGGGTTAAAAGAGCTTTAGAGTTAAGGGTTTACCTTGCAAAAACAATTTAGGGTTGAAAACCTTAAAAAAATGTGACATAATTATAGGCTAGGGTGTGAAACTATATATTTACCGCTTTTATTTTTCTAAAATTGACAAAATGTGTCGATACATTGGATTTATGTATCGGTACATTCATTTCTGAAACAATTCTATCGATACATTTTGCTATGTATCGATAGATGTTCATCGAAACCTTTTTGAAAAGCATTCTATATAAAATTTATCGGTACATTGGGCCATGTATTGATAGATTAGCTTTTAGATGAAATCAATGGATACATTTGGATCATGTATCGATAGACTTTCTCCTATAGTCACAAATAAAGTCAAAAACTAGTCCATTGGAACTTTAATTCATGCCATACTTCATAAATCACCTTTAAACATCAAAACCTGAATTATACAAGTTAAAAACTTAGTTTAAATGTTCAAAACATGAAGCGTGTGTTTGGTGAAGGTTGATCATGTATCAAATACAAATAAACGTACCGAAAATAAATTTAAGATTAAATTACACCTCACCTTCTTAGGATCTCTTTCCATGCCGAATCGAGTACGAAATTAAATTACAAATAAAATATATATGTATGATCATATCAAATTTACTTTAATAATAAAGGTTGATGAATCCTTTGTTAAACCACCGATTTGCCTTCAAAAACTCAACCACCTCAGCCCGGTTGTTGCAAACTAAAGTTGTCCAAGGTATCCTTGTGCAGCCTCTACTGGTGATCCACACTAATGAATTAGAAAATCCTTTTTTAAGGATTGGAAGTGCTATGCCTTAACAATGTTTTGGCAAAGATGAGTTTTATAAACTCATAATCCACACA